TCTTTATATATTATTATATATATAAATAAATGCAGGAAAACTTTTTTTTTTATTGGCTCCAACTTGTCCTTTTTGTCAATTTTTATTTTTAATTATCTTCTTTCAAGTTAAATTATACAATGTATAAGAAATCAGACTTAAAATCTTTTATTAGAAAATTTTCAAAATAAAATGTCACAATAACTACAAGTCTGATGAAGATTGTCTAAACAAACACATGTAAATGTATGTGTTTATGTTTATGTAAAATGGTAAACCATTTATCAGTATGTATTGTAAGTGTTGGTATCAAAATTTTTTTGCTGATTATTTAGACCAATTATGTTTTGAATGCATCTGCCTACTTCTCGACGATGTTGATGGTGCTTATGACTATGTAACATAAACTTTACTGCTTATGATTGTATAAGAAAATACAAACTTTTCGGTGTAAAAAAAATATAAATCTGCCTGTTCATTAAACAATTTATTTATTTTTTTAGGATACAAACAAGTTTTATATAGATAAAAAAAATAAATAATAATAACTTATAAAATACACACATACTGCTCTCATAATCCTCATAAAATATTTTCTTAGATAAATATCATAAAATAACCTCAATAATTTTTAATTTAAATTCGTTTTTCCTTTTTTTACTCTTTGTTACAAGAATAGAGAAAAAAAAATCAAGAGGCTTCTTGATAATAAGTCATATAATTTTGATTTTATAACATTGACAGTTCTTTTAATTGTTTCTATCAATTTGATCTATAATTAGATTTACATAAGACTAATCGAACAAATGTTTTGTACACAAGTATTTATAATTTTACAATCTCGTAAAATTACTTTTGTGACCAATCTAATTATCTAATAAGAAAAGTCAAATTTAGTTATTTAGTTTTGTTTGCAAATCAAGGTCATAATCCAATTAGAGAATTAAGACTTTGCCTCAAACACGTCCTTTAAATGAAAGGTAAACTACACTTACAAGAATGAAGAATTTAAAGTAAAATTTGATTTTAAGGGCTAATATTATCATTTATAATCAAACAATTAAAGGTATATAAAATTTTTTAAGGGCATCTTCAATGGAAGCAACTCATTTGAGATGTTTCATGCATTAAAAAATGAAAAAAGTGGTCCCTAGTGTGCCATGTCAGTATTAAGCAACTCAAACACAAATTTACTTCAATGATAAAAAACTTTAAAAAATTTAATTTTTAGAATTTTTTTAATCATTTATGAACCAAATTTAAATTTTTATTAAAAAAGATAATTGTACTACAATGAAAGAAAATAAATTACAAGAAAAAAAAAATAATAAGTAGATATTAAAAATAAAATAAAATAATAGTAAATACATAAACATTATATGAAATTAATTTACATTATTATTATTTTTAAAACGTTTCCAAATATGTTCAATAAAATCTGCTTGAAATCTGGTAAGGAACGGTTGTTTGAGGAAGCAACTCTCTCTCTTCTTCAAGCAACTCGTGTTGCCACGTCAAAGTTCTCAAATGGCAAGAAATCGGGGCTTGAGTTGTTTCATAAGACAAGCAACTCCCATTGGAGTTGCTCTAAGTTGGAGTACAATTCCTAACATTATCATTTTATGGTTAACATAGTGAGAAAAAAAAAGCTATGCAAAATTTTTCACAAAATTTATTTGAATACAAATATTTAAGTTAAAAAAAAAGTTACACAATTAACTAAAGATGGTTTTAATTACGACTTCTAAAAGTTTTTTTACCAAGTCAATATTTTTTTTTATTTGTATAATAATTTATAGGATTAAATATGTTTGGATCCTTCAAAAATTGACTCTATTTGATTTTAATCCTTCAAAAAAAATTTCGTTGATTTTAGTTTTCCAAATTTATATATTATCTATTTTTAATTTTTTTAAAACATCCTTAACTTTTATTGTTAAAATAGGTCATCTAAACATCTAAATCACCATAAATTTTATTAACATGAATTTTTTAATTTAAAATATTGATTATTTTAGGAGTAAGTTAAGTTTTAGGATAAAAACTAATTTTATATTTAAAAATTTTCACTATTAAATCTCAAATGTAGGTATGGAAGATTTTATAATTCATTTTTTACTTGAACAAATAGTCTTTTATTCAAACAGTAATAAAATCTTACAAATTCAAATCAATGTTTTTTTTTTTCCACCGTCATCACTATGTCCATAAATGTTAAGTTTTATATCTTTATTGACAATCTTCTAAGTTCCAAATTCTTAATTTTCAACGACATCGTTTCATCTTAAACCTAATGCACTAATTATTCTAAACAAAATTTATTATTCTCCTTCCTTGAGCTTCAAGTGTTGTCTTTCATAAACAAGAAATTATTGACTTCCTCTGCTGATAATAAAGGAAAAATACATGAACAAAAAATAAAATAAAGTACTTCTAGAACAAAAAATAAAAGAATTAATTTTTACCTTAAATCTTAACTTAATCATAAAATAATTAACATTTTAAATTAAAAAAAGTTTCATGTTATTGAAATTAATGGTGATTTAGATTTTGATGTGACCTATTTTAACATTAAAATTAATATTATTTAAAAAGGATTAAAAATAGACATTATATAAATTTAGAGGACTAAAATTAATAATTCTTTTTTAAAAGACTAAAATCAAATAAAATCAGTTTTTGGAAGACAAAAACATATTTAATCCTACTTTATAATTGAATGAAAGAATAACATATATTTACCTTACTGGCGTTTTCTAAATTTTTTTCTTTTAATTTTTTGATTTGTATCAAGACTAATTTTCAATTCATGGTAGGGACTAATTTATTTTCAAGCGAAAAGATTTCTGAATTGGGTTTTTTTTCAGTGTGTTTGAATTTTATTTTTTAAATTATATTATTTTAATAATTAATTATTGTTATAATCAATTATAATCCGTGTGAATTTTTTTGAATAAATTTGTTAAAAAATAATTTTGAAATATTTAATTTTATTTAAATAAAAACAAAAATTTTATGCAATAAATCAGTTTCAAGAAAAAAAAATTGTCAAAAAATAATCAAAGATTTAAACAGAAATAATTTATTTTTAATTTTTTTAACAAATTTAAGTTGTTGTCCTAAACATATATATAATTTACAACACCAAAAAAATATATATATATATATATAATTTGTTTAGAAAAAATCCAAAACTTAGGGAAATAGCTAATCACTTAAAATTTGTAAACTACTTTTTTCCTAATCTGCTAGTCTTCGTTTAAGATATTAAAAGCCTAATTTTATTCGTTGTCTATGTATGAATAGAATATTGAAATTTGTATTAAATATATTCTTCTATAATATTATAAATTCAATTAATCAATTAGAAAACATTTTATATACAATTTTAAAACAGTTATTACAAAAAGTCAATATTGTTATCCTATACTATGATAGTATATATATTAATCTATAAATAATACGTAAAAAAAAGTCTTTACTTGATTAATGCATTCTAATTAAATATAAGTATCAAATGAAAAAAGAAAGTGTATTACTAATATCTTAAAAATATATATAAAAAAAATAGTATTAATACAATAATACTTTCTTGATTTAGCTAATAAGATAGCAATAATTAATTATAGGAGGATATTGTAGAAAAATGTAAAATCGAAATCATAAATTCAAAGGTGTAGCCATATTAAAAGTGACAGCAGTATAAGCATTGATAGGTATGGCATCAGAAGCATGGTATCCATGTCATGTATGTTATGTATGCAGCTGTAACTCTCGCATTAATTTCCCTTACTTGCCACCTGTATGCCTCTGATCTGTTCATGCTCAAGCCATTAACTCTTCCACCTTTCTCTCTCTCTCTTCATAAGCTTCTAATTCCTTTGATGATAGCATTAATAGTTAGTTGTTTGGTATTTGGTGTCAATCACTCCTTGTTTCCTACTACACCTCTTATATCTCTTTAATTTATTTTATGTTAAGTTCCATCTTTAGGTCTAAACTTCTTTAGCAGATGAACATGGAGATGGAGATAGAAGCAGCCACAAGTGAGAGGGAGGTGCAGCCATACACTGGCTTTGACAGAGGAACCTTCTTGGCTTGGGAAGATCTCAGAGTTATCATTCCAAACTTTGGTAAGGGACCAACCAAGAGGTTGCTTAATGGCCTTAATGGCTATGCTGAGCCTGGTAGAATCATGGCTATTATGGGTCCTTCTGGCTCTGGAAAATCCACTCTCCTTGATTCACTTGCAGGTATATACACACATACAATCTATCTCATGTCCTAGCTTCTTTCTTTCTTTGTGTGTGTGTGTTGGTCCTTTCTTATGCAAGTTTACTTGCATGTTTCACCTTGAGTTTCTTCAAAACAAAATATTATTTTTAGAAAAGAAACTCAACCTTTAAGTGTGTGTTTGTTTTGTGGCTTTTCCAAATTTCAATGTTTTGTTTAACCTAAAAGCTATCTCACAGTTTTTTTTATGGAAATATAGACACACCTTAATTCTTGTCTTCTCACGGCTAATGGTGGTTGAATTCTTTTTATCAATTAGGGCAGCTGAATATTGTGATTTAGATCTTTCCATATTGAGATTCATCTTTGGGATTGTTTAATTAATTAAAATTTTATTGAGTGTGTTTAATTTACTATCAAGCGACAGTAGACACTAAGGGCCCTTGTTTTAATGATTTAGTCCTTTGTGGGGTATGATGTACCTCTCAAAACTAAATTATGTAGACCATCCAAGTTTCCGGGACGAAATCTAAAGACTAAAGTATATTGCTTTTCTGATAATATTTAAATTAGTGTTTTCACTTTAAATAATTACAAACAAAAAAGAACCCTATGTTTTGTCTTCTATTACTTTTTTTTTAATGAGTTGAATTTTTTTTTTACACTATTTGTTTTTGGTTTTTAATGTGCGTTAGATTTTGCATTTTTTGCTGGATTGGCTATAATCATAGCAACCTCGCGGTAGTTACTATTTATTCTCCATTCATTTGCTTCCGAAATTTCTGATAGTTGACATTGAAAAGGACAAGTTGATGGTTCTGTACACATTATAGTAGACGCGTCTTCAATTTTGGTAGTTGGAACGATGAGATTAGAATTACATGTTTAAGTGTATAACTATAACCTAACTCACGGATTTAGAAAGGGCTTATTTAATGAATATGACAATTTAGTTTGTTTATAATATATACTATTCCAAACATGAAAACTTTGGCTAGATCGACGCGTAATGATGTTTTCACATTAAGTAAAAGATTAGTCTATAAAATATAGATATTTGCTTAATTCAATAATTCATAGTAACTACCATTATACCATTTACCAACTTCCAAGGACATGTACATAACGCACTTTAAGCCCCGAGGCCCATGCTGGGCCCATATATTTGATTTTCTGCTCTTTGCAGGCTTTTCTATGGTCATTTTCATTGCATGCTTTGGGTTTCACTCTCTTTGCATTTCTATCTAACATTAGCAAAGAGTTAATTGATTGATGTACATCTTATCATTCATATATAATAGTAGATGCATGAACGCTAGAAATTAACATATATTGCTTTTCAATTTACAATTTCTCATACATAGGGTGTAGTAACGTGATGAGAAGAAATTATTATATAGTTTTTCATTATCCTGTATTTGTAATTCCTACCAATCTTCATGAGATATATATAATTCAGATTTTTTATTTGTGAAACAAATACTTAATTATGTACCATGTAGAAATTAATTATTTGGAACCAAAATAATGATCCTGAATATTGTGATAATAATTCTTCATGTCGAGGGGGAGAGTATTGGTTTCGTATAATTACTAATAGTAAGTTGGTGTTTAGTTTGTTTTGGTTTGACCATTTTAAGTTGGTAGATTTTAATTAGTTGTTTGGTGTTAAAAAAATAAATAAATTTAGTAGCTATGTAAATATATATTTTATAATTTATTTCATAAAATCTTATAAGAATCAAAGTACTATTTTTTATTATTATCGATTACAAAATAAAACCTAACACCCCGTAAATAAGTAAGCATTTATTGTATCTAGTTTACCTTGTTATTTCTTGTCTTAAAGCGAAGACGTGTAATTTTACTTTTGGTGAATAAGACGTGTTAGTGTACGACAAAAAAAGCAATCGTCATAATCATATTTGCCAAATTGGACGATGGCTTTATTCATAAAAAAAAAAAAGCAAGAAAAAAATGTTGGGCAATAGTTCTTGTATCCCTTTTCCTACATAAATTACAATTAGTGTTGTTGTACATAATGAATTAATCATCTTCAGTTAGACCATTCAACAATTAATTAAAATTAGTTCTGTATAGAGTTTAACTATCCGTCATAGGAAACTGTGGATGAATTTTAGATAACTTTTTCAGTTAAATTAAAAGGAGATTTGTATCTATATGATCATGACATATATGCTCCTATTTATTACAATTTTCTTTATATTTAAATGTTTTTGATGTTGTCGCAGGTAGACTCTCAAAAAATGTGGTTATGACAGGAAATGTTCTTCTCAATGGGAAGAAAAAAGGCTTAGGCTACGGTGTTGTTGTAAGTAAAGTAACACGTTTTCAATACATTATCGAACCATTATATACACGCTTTTATACATGTAACTTTGGAATTTAGCAACAATTTTATGTTAATTCTGCATGGACATGCATGCATGTGTTTGATGTTGAAACTTCAGGCTTACGTAACTCAAGAGGATGTTCTGCTGGGAACACTTACTGTGAAGGAAACAATATCTTACTCAGCACATCTACGTCTTCCAACATCAATGAGCAAAGAAGAAGTTGATAGCATCATCGATGGAACAATCATAGAAATGGGTCTCCAAGACTGTGCTGATAGGTTGATTGGAAACTGGCACTTGAGAGGCATAAGTGGAGGGGAGAAAAAGAGACTCAGCATTGCTCTTGAAATCCTCACCAGGCCTCGCTTACTGTTTCTTGATGAACCAACCAGTGGCCTTGATAGTGCCTCTGCATTTTTTGTTGTTCAAACTCTCAGAAATGTTGCTCGTGATGGAAGAACAGTTATCTCTTCCATTCACCAACCTAGCAGTGAAGTCTTTGCACTCTTTGATGACCTTTTCTTACTATCTGGCGGCGAAACGGTTTATTTTGGAGAAGCAAAATCTGCAATTGAGGTATACATAAAGTTTGTTTTGATACAAGTTATAAATATTTTTGAAAGTTTATCTACAAGAAAGTTTATCCACATGTTATAATTAATTAAACCTCATGTATGTAAATATTCCTTCTTCATTAAGTCTCTATTTAGTTAGTTTAATATTTTGTTATGGTTAGAAACTCTGCTTCAGTGCCTAATTCTTTTCAATTATTTTCACAGTTTTTTGCTGAAGCTGGTTTTCCTTGTCCACGTAAAAGAAATCCTTCTGATCATTTCCTACGATGTATCAATTCTGATTTCGACATTGTGACAGCTACACTGAAGGGATCTCAAAGAATTCATGTAAGTATTAGTTTTTAATTCTGACAATATGCTTTGTCGTTTATGTGAGTAATTATCCACCTCCTCCCTAAACTCTTTCTAGTGTTTGATATAAGAAACAGACTTAATAAGCATTTGCCTGTCTCTCAATTTAAAGAATGGAACTAGAGATGTTGATAACTAGTTGTCTAGTTGTACTTATTTTTTTTTTTCAAGGTCTAATTAATTTGTTTTAATGTCTATACTAACTTATGGAGTTGTTTCTCTTTTTGTCCTGTTAGGATGTTCCAAATTCATCAGATCCTTTCTTGAATCTGGCCACAGCAGAGATTAAGGCAATGCTAGTTGAGAAATATAGGCGTTCAACATATTACAGAAGGGCAAAGAACAGAATTCAAGAGCTATCTACCGATGTATATATGCAGTTCCATAGAGCATGCAAAATAACATTTGATTTGAGAATTGATAGCATTATGATAAAATATTAATTATGTTAATGCAGGAAGGGCTTCAACCTCCGACACAACATGGAAGTCAAGCTAGTTGGTGGAAGCAACTGTGGACGTTGACAAAGAGATCATTTGTGAACATGTGTAGAGATGTCGGTTATTACTGGTTGAGGATCATAATTTACATCATTGTATCCATATGTGTGGGAACCGTTTATTTTGATGTTGGCTACAGCTACACTTCCATCCTTGCCCGTGGTGCCTGTGGTGCATTCATATCAGGATTTATGACATTCATGTCAATTGGTGGCTTTCCATCATTTATTGAAGAAATGAAGGTAAAAATATTTTATTTGTTAACATTAATATATATAAGCTACATGTTTAACATTTAATTATCATGTTTTTAATTTGTTCAGGTTTTTTATCGAGAAAGGCTTAACGGATATTATGGAGTTGCAGCATATATTTTAGCCAACTTTCTTTCTTCGTTCCCATTCTTGGTTGCAATTGCTCTTACTAGTTGCACCATAACCTATAACATGGTGAAATTCAGGCCAGGGATTAGTCACTTTGTGTTTTTCACTCTCAACATCTACAGCTGCATCTCCGTAATTGAAAGCCTCATGATGGTTGTGGCTTCACTTGTTCCAAATTTCCTCATGGGAATAATTACAGGGGCTGGAATAATAGTAAGAATAAAATACCTAAGCCTTTTAGAGGAAAATCCTACTTAAACATGATCCACATAAGTTAATTTTCTATTTTTTGTTTTTAATGCAGGGAATCATGATGATGACCTCCGGATTCTTCAGGTTGCTTTCTGATCTTCCAAAACCGGTTTGGCGCTACCCAATTTCTTATATCAGTTATGGTTCCTGGGCAATACAGGTAACTTGATTTATTTGTTATGATAATGGTAACAATGAAAATCAGACTAGTTACAAAGAATTTACAATACTTACATATCATTCTCAATTAGCTGGGTTAAACTCTATTAGTAATCCCTAATTACAATATATATATCCCTAAAAACAAATTGTGAAGTTTCCAAATGATGCATTAATTGATTGATTATGATTTGAAATGTAGGGTTCATACAAGAATGACTTGCTTGGGCTTGAGTTTGAACCTATGCTACCTGGTGACCCAAAAGTGACTGGAGAGTACGTGATCACACACATGTTAGGCATTGAATTAAACCATTCAAAGTGGTTGGACTTAGCAGCTCTATTTGTGATTCTCATTTGTTACAGACTTCTCTTCTTTACTGTTCTGAAGTTCAAGGAGAGAGCATCACCATTGTTTAAGACACTTTATGCAAAGAGAACCATACAACAGCTTGAAAAAAGACCCTCTTTCAGGAAGATGCCATCTTTCCCTTCACAGAGGCACCAACCCCTCCATTCACTTTCTTCACAAGATGGTCTTGATTCTCCACTCAACTAGATTCATCCACCACAAATAAAAGTGTTGCACGCTTAACATACAAAATTGTATTGCTCATGTATGTATAGAGAAAAATGTTTCATAACTGTCTTAAGCTACAAATTAATGGGACATTGTGTACGTCCTTCCATTACATTTTTTTTTGGGCAACTAAAATCTCTAAACTGGGAATATTAAATACTTTGTACGAATTATGAAGGTTGAGACTTTGTTGGGATAGATAAATACCTCCCAGAATGAAGTCAAGATGATGATGATATGTTATTAACTATAAGAGATTTATCAAGAGAAGTAAAGTTTCATATCATTTAAATAAGAGAATAAACATAAATTTATATATACACAATTGTTTTCATTGATTAAAAACATTTTTAATGATGTTCAAAAATAAAATTATAAGTTTTTAAATTTAAAATAAATAATATTTTACTAATGTAAAAATATGTGCCATAAAAATATGTGCAACCTTTTTCTTATTACTATTATTATAGGTAACTAATTTAATGTATTTAAAAATGTATATATAAGAAAATAAAATAATAGAGTAGGTGATTAAAAGAAAAAGGTTTAAAATAATTTATAATTTATAAGAATAAAATAATCTAAAAATTATGTAAATAAAAATAAAGAATTACTTGTATATATAGATGTATATGTGAAGAATATATGCGCTTAGAATGACCAAACAATAAACATAGCATACTTTGGTTGGATATATATAAAAAGATAATTAGTAATAGTTGTTTGAATTACAGGTCGCTTATGTGGATTAATAGAATTTTAAATTATGTTAAGTTGGACGAATTTGATTACAGAGTGCAGTTTATTATGAGCAGTGGGGCACTGGGACCAACAAATTAATTGACCCATGTAAATTGACCAACGATTTTTTTAAAAAAGAAAATTGCTTCACGACTAAAACAATATATTAATTCATATTTAATAATTAACACATCTAAATCATATTTATATAAAATTATTAATTCATTATATAGTACTTTCTGAAATTGATATTTAATATATTTGAAACTTAAATAAAACTTATCATTAATGCATTCCATGCTTAAATTAATCTTTCCCTCTCCCTATATATATAAAGTATGTATCGTTGATTCAAGTACGAAGATCTAGTTTTTACATAAACAATATATACTTTGAATATATCCAAAATAATTAAATAATAATACGGAATAAAATTAAAATAAAAATAAAATTAGCAAGATTAGGGGGATTGGGTTAATTGTGAGCTTAACTCACATGGAATCAATTAATTTATGGGCTAGGTCTCATTAAAATTGGACTTGATTTTTTAGGCTATGGTTGGGCAAGATTAATTAATATATTTGTGATTATATTGCTGTGTACAGTACATATCTTCAGCTTTGACTTTTATACTCTAACATAGTTCTATTTACAACTGGACCAATCACCAAGCCCATTGTTTTCTGGGGTGAGGTGGAAATGCAACATTAAATTGTTGAGGATGACTTCTTCAGACAAAAGCTAGTTCTCTTCACGCATGCTTCTTTAATTGCTTTTACAAAGCTATATATATAAGCACTTTGGTCTTCCATAAACATTAAAATTATAAAATTTTAATATATCAAACATAAATAAAAAAGAAGAATAATTTGACTTTCAAATTAAAATACTTTGAATAAAAAATATTATTCAAAATCAAAATAATATAGAAAATAATTGTATGTTTAAGCATTACTTCGTCTGAGTGATCCATCCCATAACCCATTCTTTTGATCCTCATTTTTGAGGGTGAAGGGTTGTTTCCTCACCTTGCACTCATTCCTCAGAGTGATTTTTTTTCTTTCTTTTGGTTTATGCCTTTACGGGGGGGCATCTGTTGTTATGTTTTAAGTAGAACATAATTAATAATTATTTTTTCATGGGCGGTTTCTCCACATCAAGTGGCTCGCCGATAATCGAATAAAAACACTGGCTACAAGTGGCAAATATGCTTCAATATATATCAATTTATTTTTTTGTGAATATATTTTTTTAAATATTAAAATTACAAATTGTTCTGAAAAATCTGCTAAAATTGTTAGGATCATCGCGTTAAATCTATAAACTTTTTAATGCATAAACTAAATTTACTATATTTTTAAAAATTTAAAAATTATTTAATATTTATTAACTCAAATTGATAAATAATTAAAAAATTATTTTATGACTTAAATATATTCAAACTACCTTTAATTAAGTCGATTTTTAGATTATTATTTATTTATTTTTTGTTTTAATTACCTGATTAATTTTTTTTCTTTCAATTTAGTACTTGACGTTTATCTCTCTCTGTTAAATGATGACGTGGTTGACGGACTATCATATCATCATCCAACAGTGTCTGTCACGTCATCTAAAGGGTTGTCACTCCTCCATCGTTGCCGATCGTGACCTCTTTCGCCTCAACCTCATCGTCGCTCCTGTTGCCGCCACCTCGATCCAGTCGCACCTCACCATCCTAGAGCTTCTCTACACGAACAATTTCGTCGTCGTAGTGGACAGCGCGTCCACAATGCTAGATCTATTACTGGTGGCGCTAAAGCTTCTCTTCAAGGAGTGCGTGTGTTGGTGCGTTAGTTTCCTAGAAGAGGTGTCATGGACGGACGAAGAGGAGAAGAGAGTAGTGAGATTGATCCCCTTCCTGAGCGAGGAAGAGTCGAAGGAACTCGTGGCTAGGGTTTCTCCTTCGAGAGAGGACTCATGCGAGGCAATGCTGCAAGGACTCGTGTCCTCCGCGATGAACAGTTACGACAACACGACATTCGTGAAGGCGTTCGCCGGGAAGATAAGAGGTTGAATCTGCACAAGGCTTCCACGAATGAGAAACATCTTCCACGACGAGGTTAAGGCGAAAGAGATCGCAGTCGGTGGCGGTGGAGGAGTGACAGCCTTTAGATGACATGGTAGACACTATTGGTTGATGACGTGGTAGTCTGTCAGCCACGTCATCATTTAACAGAAGGAGACTAACATCAGGTACTAAATTAAAAAAAATTAATCAAGTAATTAAAATAAAAAAATTAATAAATAATAATTTAAAAATTGACCTAATTGAAGGTAGTTTAAACATATTTAAGTCTTATTTTATATATTAATTTAAATTAACAAAACAAAATTAGATAATTTTTAATTTTTAAAAAAATTATAAACTTAATCTATATATTAAAAAAAATTAATTTAATAGTTGAATCTTTAAGAATTTATATAAAATATAAATTATTTTGTACAATAAATATGAATAGACTTGTTTTAAGAATCTTTCACATATATATATATATATATATATTATATAAAGGTAAAAAAAACAAAAAGAAAACAAAACAGTCTCCTACTCCAACATGAGAGATATATATCGGAAAGTCTCCCATGGTGTCGGTGCAGTTGAACAAAAAGGGGAGATAATGAAATACGTAAAAATTTTGTCTCAATTTGTTATTTCTGAGGTTTGATCTGTATTGGAAGTGACGGCGCTTGATATTCACGTCTAAACTTTAACAGCATACAATATTATTTATATGATGCATGTTCTGGATTAATGTTTAGATTACGTAACAAAAGCATGGATACATATGAATATGATTGGAGTGTACATGCATGAGTCTGGCAATTGCGTCAGACGTACTATTTCTGGTGTAACATGGCTACATCTTCGCTTCCATAGACCTCTCTTTCGATCAATTTACGTGCCGCTAAAGCTGCTCCATCCGCCACCATTCAATATTTTCATCACTAATTAAACACAACTTTAAGGTTTGCTTTAATAATTTATAAGCCACTTTATGAAAATAACATAGAAACTATCTCTCCATCTCAAAATAATTACAATTTCAATATTTAAATTTTTTCAAGATAACTGATTTTTAATTTTCAATGTAACGTCTTTTCCATTTTTTTTTAACTTAAACTACATCAGTCTCAATAAAAATAATACATTTATTAAGAGTATATATGATTATTCTAATAAAATTTTATATAAAAAATATTTTTTTTTAATTTGTAAATAAAAACTTTAATTTAAATATAATTTGAACTAGTGGGGTATTTTGCAGTTGTTCATCTTCTTGTTAAACACAATTTAATTATAAACAAATAAGTTATTCTAATCAAACTAGCCTACCTTGCCAAACTTAATGATATATATCTAGACAAAATTTAAATATAATTTTTTAATGAATGGTTAGTATTATTTGATGGAGGTCTTATCAATACATATACGTATATAAATGAGATAAAATTTTAACTCTTAATCAGTGTTTTAAAACCCGGACCGACCCGGCCGGTCGGATCGGTTGGACCGGGAACCGGTGGTCCAGCCGATCCGAATCTGAAGTTGGATCGGTTATGCAGTCGAACCGTTACAAACCGGATTGAACCGGTCAATTTTCCTGTTCAACCGATGAACCCGTGGGTCAAACCGATTCAACCACTTTTTTTTTTTTTTTTTTTATCAATGAGAATTGAAATTGGTATTAAACAGTTTATAAAAATAATAATGAAAATTGAATCTCTTAATGAAAAAGCAAGGAGTCTTATTAAATATAACAATGACTACTTGTTCTAATATATTTGTTTGCAATATATACAACTTAAATAACTTTTATAGTATATTATTAATTTTAAATTATATATTTAATAATGCAATATCTATGTAAATATTACATATATTATTTTGTGATATTAATTGCAAGCATATTATATATGTACATATTATTTATATTTTTAATTTGTATTAATATACCGTTTAACATGTAATTTTTTTATGTATTTTTTTACAAAATAAAAATAAAAATAATTTTAAATAAGATAGAAAAATTTAAATTTAAAATAAGATATGAATTTATTAAAATTTATAAGTATAAATATATTTAATATGAATATTTTTTAATAAAAATAAATAAAAATCGAGTCATGCGATTCAATCAGTGACCCACCGATTCAACCTTTGACCCACTGATCCAATACCTTAACCGGTTTGATAACCGATCCGATTTTTAAAACTATGCTCTTAATAGAGAATAAGACTCCCTATATCTACATGACTATATCTTTTTTGTATATATTTTAAAGCGGTTCATGTGATAAGGTTTTTGTTGTATTGTTTTGGGGGTGGGGGAGAAAAAAACCGGTATATATATCAATAAGATGTATACTTTAAACAAAATTTGAACAAACTATCACAATGGATCCCTGAAATAGCATGTAACATCTAATTTAAGCATGATAAAGATATATACACGTGAGTATGAC